GCACTGACCACTTGGCCACGCTGCCTCCCTCCTTTTTTCATAACATTTTTAATTGAAAGCAATGCCAAAGGATGCCAAAGAACCCAAAACACTTAATGAGAAGGGTTTACAAAGAGATAACCCATCAGTGTCTGTGTCTAACTTGTTCACAGATTTCTCTATTGAAATATAAGTTGTCTTCTTGTATGGCAAAACAAATCACAATTCAGCAGGGCTGTAACCCGTAGTAACTGTTACGGCTGAGCATGCTTGATGGACCCTTGATGTTAGGGGAGAATTTGCCTGTAGTTGATACAATTGACCCATAAAGTAACAAGCTTGTTACGGGTGTGAAGATCAAGGCTTCTGATGAATCATTCAAAACTTTATGACAGCCCTGTTCAGTACCTATAGACACCAGTGGCAATGTCCCATATTTGAATATTTTTGTCCCATGATCCTGTGGCCAATAAGTGTTCATCGCTACTGAAACAACAGCTGGAGATGACATTTATATGACCCCTAAATAGAAACAAGAAAAAAATTCCAGTGAAAATTGAAAGTAAATAATTTAACATCAAAGAATGCCTTGTAAACCTTGATGTGAAAAGTAACTTATATGAAAAAAGAAAGACCGTGTTTGACCACAATTCCAAACACTGAGAAGAGAGTTGAAAATATGCCACAAAGCGGAGCATTTTTTATGAACTTCAAGGTGTTTGGTAATGTGGTCAAACACTGTCTTAAGTGATTGATATACTGCCTCAATCAAAACTAAAACTAAGGAGAAAACGGGGCAATAAAATCGTAAAACTCTATGCTCACTGAGACCAGATATCCAAACATCGTCATGAAGCATTAACGAGTTCGAGAACTGAATAATTACATGTTAACCATTTATTTATTTCTTGTATGTGAGTATGATGGCATCTGAAGGAAATATTCCTTAATCACGTAATGTTATGCTGCCCCAAAATGTGAGACAAATAGCTATTTTGCAGTCTATAGAGGCCAAAATTGACTTTGAACAAAAAATCTGAATTCTTACCCAAGAGTAAGAGTGACATTATAATCCTCAGTGAAGGTTAGCATGTCAGTGATCTTTGTTGTTCTGTCCATGGAAGTTGTACAAATCCGGTTTTGCATTGGAGCAAATCGACAACATGTAACTGTACTCTTGTGACCTGCACATGTTAGAGGTTATAAAATTCAGAAGTTTAAAAAGTTTTGAAAATTTTAAAAATTCCACTTTCAATATCTACTAGACATGACCCCTTGTTCTAGACCAATTATTGAAAGAAACCTAAATTAATATTTAACACTCAAATTATTAATTGAAAGCTCCGCCAATAGCTTTATCAACATGTACAGCAAACTCTAGTTCTGTGTAACTCCTACATCATTGTAGGGACACAGCTTTTACCATGTAACAGTTGTCTTTTTTCTAAAACTATATTATATTTAAACCCTTTTTCATCCTTCAAGGGATAATCTCCTTGGAACCCAGCCACAAAGCTAGTTAAAATGGCCAAAAATTGTAAGTAATGCCAGATTTAAAGATAACACCACAAAAGTGGCCGGTCCCTTCACATGCAATAACCATGATATTTAATCACCTGTTTTACTTCTGATCAATATTTCATTATATACCCCTGAGTTTTGGAGGATAATGATAATTGCTTGACATTCAGCTTTGGAGATAATCAAACTCCTAAAATTCTTGTAGAAAATTATTTGAATGTATGCTACTCACTGAAGAATTTCTTAATAAGAGATCCCTCCCTGACATCCCACACACTGACAGCAAAATCTAGATCACTGCTGTTGACAAGGTAGCGTCCATCATGAGAGAAGTGACAGGAAGTCACTATACCCTCATTCACTGCTTCCCACTAAAAAGAGACAATCACATTTTTCTCCTAGGAGGCATTTCCTTGACACCTTTAATTTATTTTTAGTAAATACTTTGTTTCAACTATCATCCAGTACAGGTGTCCAGTGAATTCAGAATTGCAACATAGGGGCATAGGGTGATTGTTTTTGTGGAGTACACATCAAAGAGAAAATTAATCTTGAGAGTGTCTAGGGGGCAAGCCACTAGGGTGGTTTGAGGATCAACCTTTAGGGTTAATAATTAAAGATGCTTTTTTGCCAATAAAATATACATACATATCTAATTTTTCCGGATCTCCGGAGGTAGGCATATAATATAGTGTTTTGTGAACCATAACTTGCAGGTGTAAATATTAAGTGAATTCTGTAGGAACCCATAAAGAGTCCCAAATTAAAAGAACTTTGGAGCTGATTTGGAATAATTTATCTTCATTTGATGATAATCATTATGCTGACTAAGCCTTTCATAGATTAACTTGCAGCATACTTTTATTACAGAAATCAAACATTTAAACATTCATTTGGGTACAAAAAATGAGCACCAGGGAGTCATACCAGAATTGTACCAGTCTGAATATCCCAGACAAGAAGTCTTTTATCCCATCCACCAGATGCAATCCTAAATAACAACCAAAAAATAGATAATACATGATTGTATACTGACAGCTAATGGTGAAGGAAGTTGGTGGTCTCAGAAGAACACTCTATTTGTAACACTTTTAAATGTCTCCTCCTTGCTTTCCTAGTGACAATCATGGGACACACAAAAATGAACCTAGTAGGCAACAAATGGGCATGGTAAAATAACTTACATTATTGTTATTAAGGGTCTGTCAAATTGCCAAGTTGCTTTATTTTTCTTTTCTTTTCACCAGAAAACACTGTTTACACAAATATTTACTCAGAACTAACACATTCTCTGTCAAACCTTGCACTGTTAGGGTCTGTGTGACAGCAAGTGACATATGAATTGTGACCTTTATACACCTTGACTTGCGCTCCAGAGGTGGCATCCTGATATGTAATGATAGAAAGTAAATGATAATTAGCAATTATTCTTCCACAAGTGTGTTTTGGATATATAAACAATAGCCTCCATTTGGTGTGAAAATATGTTTGGATATTTGTACGCAGACATTATCTGTTCTGAGAAGTGAACAGCTTTCCGAGAGCGTAGCTCAAGGAAAACTGTGAGCTTTGAGCAACAGATAATGTCCAAAGACAAATATCCAAGCATATTTTCAAAGTCAAATGGAGGCTATTGTGTTTATTATCCTTCAAATATTTTTCCTAACACGTGCAGTTTTGAAAATTGGGGAATATTCTCGGATATCCCCCAGTTTTCTCTGGGGAAAATTCTGTCACGTGATGTGTTTAGACCAATCACAAGTGAGCAAAAATATTTGATGGATTACAAGAGATAATAGACTACCAACTAGGTGGATAGTGCCAAGTTAGCTATTATAATCATCTTGTAAATCCAACAAGCACAAGTGTAATAATTGCTTTATTAAAAATGCCCCCAAAATATAGAAAACTAATTAAAAATAAATTAACAATAAAAATGCCCCATGAAATCACGTGTATCCTTACTATATTATTTTTTTACAACATGGTATGATTGCTCATATACAGTACCATGATGGATAAGCCAATGAAAACTCTTGAATTGCATCATTCAATGATCCACTTTTTAATAATAGTAGTTATACCATCACGTTTCTGGCCATGATATGGAAGTAAGACTTCTAAGTCCCAGCTACTTCCAAAACAAATGTCCAGTGAATGAAATCTACCTACCCAAAGTCTCAGGGTCTTGTCATGTGAGGCAGTGACAATTTTGGAGTCATCAAATGTAAATGAACAACTGTTTACAGCATCTTTATGCCCTCTTAATACTTTTATCTTCACCTATAAAGGAGAAATTGTTAAACATTTGTAATGGCTGCCTTCAAGCTCAACTGTTCAACTGATCTTTATTTATGATGAATGTCTTTTGCAAATCCTTTCTAGAGGGACCAGCCTTTAAATCTAGAACAATACAGTTACTGATTATTAATAGCATAGATATCCCATCAGTTCAAAATGTAGACTGCAGACTGCAAACCAGGTATAAAACACATTCTGAAAAGAGAAATGTTTTTTTTTTTTCCATTGGTGGTCTTAAATACAGGTGATAACCTAATTTCATCTTAAAGTTTAGCAAGTGTCACAAAATTGCTTTTTCTTGGTCATTTTCCTGGAAAATTCGTATTTTGAGGAACATTCTTGGCCTGTCTTCCATATATTTTATTTTTAAGCAAAGTGTCAAGGCCATATTCATTCTTAAAAAGAATTTCAAGCTTGCACAGTCTTCTCACATTCTGTGTGAGATGTCAGTAGCAGTATTAAATAACACTGAGTATTCCACGAACACCAGAGTGTGACAACATAGGAACGGTCAGTGTAAAACAAAGACTGTGGACTGCAGACTGCAGATCAGGGATAGAATGCAGACCAGGGGTAAAATGCAGGCTGCAGACTTTTTAACTGAATCATGTTACCATTACCATCATTGAGAACTAACCGTAAACAGGCCAACCAGAGTGTTATTTAGATTAACCTAAGTGATATTCAGGCTAACCTGAGTGATATTCAGTCTAATCAGAGTGTAGACTTTCACTGCGATTAGCCTGAATAACCCTGTTTACAATTAGCACTCAATAAGGGAAATAACATGATACATACTTAAAACGTCTGTAGTCTGCAGTCTGCATTTTACCCCTGGTCTGCAGTCTGCAGTCTGCACTTTACACTGACCAATTTTCTAAACAAAATGCAGACTGAGAACAAAACTGTTGATATATTTTCAATGCTCCAAGGTGACCACACTAACTAATAATTTGTAGTGACTGTCATAAAACAGATGTGAGATAAAACCACAAGTCAAAGTGAACAAATAGCCTGTTACGAAATGTGTTATCAAATGTGTCACTTTTCTCTGTAAAAATTAGCTGATTCCCCTTCATTTATGTTACTAAAAGAAATATTGCAAATGTAAGAAACTTAAGCATTCTTTAATTTCCTCCAAGATTCTAACCCAAAAGTATTTCTCGCTTAACAAACATGTCAATCTCTTTAATGCAAGTTATAAGATGACATGTTATCACGCGGCACATATTAGGAAGAAAAAACAGTTTTTATAATTATACCCAGTCTAACCCTACCTTTTTTACTCAGTCTGCAGTATACAGTCTGCATTGTGTACCTAGTCTGCAGTCTACAGTCTGCATTTTGTAACCAGTCTCCAGTCTACAGTCTGCATTTTGTACCTAGTCTGTGGTTTACAGTCTGCATTTTGTACCTAGTCTGCAGTCTACAGTCCGCATTTTGTACCTATAGTCTGCATTTGGTAACCGGTCTGCAGTCTGCATTTTGCACTGACCGCATAAATGTCGATGAAAGTGCAATCTAAACAATTGTTCAATTGTTATTGTTTCCTTCACAGTTTGGAGCTAGTTGTCCAGGTCCAGAGAATGGGTTACCAGCTGCCAGGATTTTAATTTTAACTTATCTTAATATTTGTTTAAAGTAAAATCATCTTAATTAATATTAATCTATTCAAGTATAAATGTTTCTTGTCAAATTTTTCCTTAGCCTTGTGTCACTTTGGCAACGCATCGTGACGTTATACCTGTGCCAGAGACTGGTGTTCCCATGTTGCTCCTGGCTGTCCTTCACTATCAGACTCTTCTTCACCTGGCATACTTCAACCAACTTTACAAACATCTCATTTCTACTCTACGCGTTTTGCAAGTTCGTATGTTGACATTCTCCAAGACAACAACTCTCCGCCATTTTGATTTGTCGGCACGCTAAGGCATGTGGGACGTTTTGTACCCAGTTTCTTCGGTAACC